CTAAGCAGGATAAGAATAGTGATGGTGAATAATAGTCCCACTGGGACTTGAAGGTGGTGAGTCCACATAAATATGGACTCAGCTGCAAAAATAAACGCATAAACATGCAAGTGACAAACAAATGTGCATATAAAAAATGGAAAATATGATATAATGATCACATATCAGGTGATATATCTATACAGATATCAAACTGCGCTGAGCAACCCTTCTGGCGCTAAATAAATACTGTATAATAATAATAATAATAATAATAATAATAAAATGCAAATCGAAGGGAAAAACATAATATGCAATAGTGAAAAAACATCCATACAGTGGCTAGAAATGTCATGCAATGCTCAAATCGTCTAACACTGATCCTGATACAGGCAAGAACATACTGTACTTGCAATATTGTATTTGCTGACTGTAATGACAAAAATAAAAGCAACCAAATGAGTCATGAGGAGCAAACAGAATGTTTGCAGAACCTAAAGTGCAGCAAATAAACTCATGCATCCAACGAAACACCAAAATCCCATCCCTACAACAGAAAGAGACCGCAGGACTGTAAACAAAGGACATCTGTATAAACAAGTTTAATTGGTTTGCCCACATTAAACACCAGAATGAAACAAGTATCACTAGTAACAGAAACACAGATGCGTGGTAAATAATGTGCGGCAGGTTCATTAGATGTCTCTGCTTCTTCTCCATCTAATTGATGTGCACCTTCCAGCAATGCGAGTGTGAATGTTAACGCAACAAACAAAAATACATATTTGAGAAGGAATTTAGCAACTACCAAGCTGGGAGATTGCTGGAAAAAGATATAGGCAACCTGGAAAAATCTGGAGTTACTTTTATGATAAAATAAAAGGTGAGCCTCCTGTAGTAAATATTTCAGGGGAAATAACCACATCAGGGGCAGTGAAAGGAAATCTTCGGAGCAACCTAGCTCCTGACAGACGGTAGAAATGTATCCTTGTGGGTTTTCTTATAAAAATAGAAAAAGGATAAAGTAAGATAAAATAGTGCGGCGCTTAAAATATGAATCAGCAGTATATAGGATATTAGTCATCAAACTGATAATATAATTATAAATACTGATAATATAGATTGTAAACTCGAAAGAGCAGGGTCCTCGAACCCCTCGTGTATTTTTTGTTACTGTATTGTCTCATGTACTGTCCCCCACTATAATGTACAGCGCTGAGCAACCCTTCTGGCGCTATATAAACACTGTATAATAATAAAAAATAAAAGTTCAATATGAGTGACAGTCTTGTGTGACTATAAGGTGTTATGCAACTGGTTAACATTCGGTGGTGGTGCTCCAAGAGATACGGTAAAATTACACACTCACCAGATGCGTAATTAATATACGCACTCACCAGATGCGTAATTAATATACGCATTAAGTATCACATCCTGGGGCTCCCTCATCAAGCAGAGGTCTGTTCAGGGGCGTAGGTAATCCTCCCTCAGGGTTATGGTCGTATGTGCCCAGTAGAAGTTTAAATGGATCCAGGTAACCAGAGGACCCTTTAAGTGATGGGTAGGTGAGGATGCCTGCTTACAGGGAACTCCCTTCTCTGGATATAAATGATAGATGGATGGTTGGATCACAAAGAACAAGCTCTGCAAATAAATGCTGCTCGCCTTATTACTGCAGCCTAGGCGAAGCACACAGCCTACTGCTTCCTCTCCGGCCAGCAGCCAGACAAGCTCCCCCTCTCCAAATCCCTCACATTCATATTTTATCATTGTAAGGTTTATGTTGGTTGAGTGCTTAGCTGCTGATTGGATAGCGCTCACTTTCATATTATTACTAAATAGAAAAAGGATACATTTCAATAAATAGGCAACAATTAAAATAATTTTGGGCAACCCGACCACCTGATAAGGGTGCTTTGACAAATATAAAGGGATAGCAAAGGAATTTCAACAATTCCCAAATATATGATTTAAAAGAAAATAAAACTGGGCTACCTGACAAGGACAGGGGGTCCCCATAAACTCCTTACACGGGGGGGATAAAAAAAACTTAATTGCAAGAAACAGTTCAAAGGCAACCTGACAGGGATGCTTGTACGATGATCTGAGAGCATTTTTCACAACACTAGAGAAAAAACGTGTAAATTAAATGGTCAGGACATTCCCATTATGCATTGAAACACTGGGGGGGGGGAAATGACCAAAGAATACAATTACAAGAGTAATGAGGATAAAGGGGTACAAGGGGTAATTAGGGTAAAGCCATTAGGGTCCCATGAGAAGACCAGATCTCCAAAAACATTGTGAGGCTACGTTCACACTAGCGTTGTGTGCAGGCGGCAGAGAGGCGTTTGGGAAGCGTTTTTAGCGCTTCCCAAACGCCTCTGCCAATTCTGTACATTACAGTACATGGTGCCGTTCTAACGGGAGCGTTTGCGTCGTGTTGCGGCAAAACGGACGCCTCTGGTCGAGTCAGGAGACGTTGAAGCCTCCTATTCTAGTCTATGGTGCCGCTCCGCGACGCGGAGCAGTAACACCATTCAAACTGCATTATAGGTGTTTGTGGGGCGTTTTTAACGCTCAGCAAATGCCTAGCAACCGCCGCTAAACCGCGCATGCGGCATTTACGGAGCGTTAAAAAACACTCCGCAAACGCCGGACCAACGCTTGCCAAACGCTATACGGGCGTTTGGCAAGCGTTGGTAAAACAGCCAAGTGTGAACGAGCCCTGACAAAAACAAAAACTCTTAGTAGGCAGCATATAACTAAACTGGGGCCTTGGACATGCAATACAGAATTTATAAATATAATAATGACTGATATTTTATGCGTTTTTAAGTCAGACAGTAAAGCTGGCTATAGATGGATCAAAATTCCACTGGTTCAACAGGGAACCTGCCGAGATTCGATCCATGTATGGGCAGGCTGATTATACCCAAGTCGATACAACCAGCCTGTCAGGCTTTTTGACATTTGATTACTGCAAGTGGCTACAGTCGCTAGCAGTAACCATTGTGTTCTGCCCACTGGGAAGGCACCCTGAACCACACAGGCAAAATACAATGATGCAGGAGGCCAGGGGCGGACTGACCATTTGGGCACTGCCCGAGGGCCCAAGTTCAGCAGGGGGCCCCATGAGATGCCCCTAGTACCTTTCATAGGATTTTTTGGGTGTGGTTTGTGTGGGCGAGGACACGGGCCCCATATGATCCCCTAATGCCCGGGGGCACCATGAGTTGTCAGTCCGCCCCTGCAGGAGGCGTTCCCCCATCAAGAGCGACTGTGCTGATGGGGGAATTGTGCGATTTTCTTTCCTTCCACCCGTGGTGGAAGGAAAGACAATTGAGTAATTTTGGGCTGCTTAATGCAGGCCATAGACAGGTCGTTTATCGGCCGAATTTTCGTCTGCACGAACAATGGGCCGATATTCACGCCGTTAATGAGGCAATGCCATTGGCTGTTTTTTGCGGATCTTCTAATTTATTTTAATCAGTCATGCTGGAAAATCCACGAAAAACGGCCGTTTTTTTTCATGGACATTGGTGGCAGAAACGGCAACGACCGATTTTTTGTTTATCGGCCAACAAATGGTCCATCTATGGCCTGCATTAGTGATAAATAACAATATGGGGACCAGCCTAACCAGCGGGGGTTCTTGCAAGTGACAAATAAATCGCAGAAAAAAAGAAACGTAATATTAGAACAGAAGGAGAAGGCTCTTCGCAGTGATCAGGTTGGGGATAATTAATAGAAAGTAATCCAAGCCAAAGGAGCGAGGTCACTATAAATTCCTCTCAGTGGAGGTGTATTAGACCAGACTTTCTGAACCGGGGTGCCCGGGCGCCTTGAGGTTTCTTCAGGGGTGCCTTTGCAGAAGGTCTAAAAATTGACTAAAACTTGTATACAAGCCAGCGGGTAGAACAAGCCGGCCTTTTAGCTGCACAAAGCCACAGGTTTTCATTGTGCGCCATTACCACCTTCTAGCCGCCGGTGTCCTGACAACCAATGACATCGTCAGTTGATAAGGAGGATGTCAGTTGCCTGCACAGCATCCTAGTTTGACCCTCCCCCGCCCCTTTTATCAGTGCTGGGGTCACATTAGCTCAGTGAGGGAGAGGAGAAACATTGGAATACCAGTACCAGTGTGCAAAAATGTATTTGCTTTGGAAGAATAAATCACCCCCAACGTTGGGTTATCTTACAGTACAACTCATGGGGCCCCCGGGCAATAGGGGATCATGGGGCCCCTGTGTCCTTGCCCAAACTCAAAAAGCCTATGAAAAAGGTACCAGGGGCATCTCATGGGGCCCCCTACTGACCCCGGGCCCTCGGGCAGTGCCCGAGTTTCCAAATGGTCAGTCCGCCCCTGCCTGTGTGGATGTTGCTGCATCACATAAAACTATTAGAATCGTTTTTTCGCATTTTAGAATGGGGTGCCTCAAGACTGTCCATAATTTTAAAGGGTGTCTTGACTGAAAAAAGGTTGAGAAACGCTGTATTAGACAACCTGCACACATCTCAGCTCCAAATACCAGCCACAGGCTACAGGAATGTTCGGATGAAGTTAAATCATATACTGAAAAACAGATAATAAATCTAGACACATCTACTGAACAGACAATGAACATTCAGCCAACCTGCCTAGCTGAGAGAAGTGCTAGGAAGGAGAACTACTTAAAAATGGATACAAATAAGAATTCAATAGGAATGTAACAATATATAAAACCAGCGACAGAGCAAGAAGTAATCTCTGAAATCTCAGAGCAACACACGGTGGATACAAGGTTTTAGATTGTAAATTTTCATGAGCAGGGTCCCCCCCCCCCCCTTCTCTCTCTTTGTATTGGAAATTGCTGCACAAAACAAATCCTGTGTTATTAACCACTTCCCATCCGGCCGTTTATACACATGGGCAGGACGAGAGCTGTGCAGGGTCGGGTGGCTGTTTATAGACATCCTCCCGCTCCCTGGGAGCGCACAGCACTGCATTCCGGTGCCCGCTGTGTCCGGAGGTCCATTTGTTGTACGGGACCTCTGTGCGAGGTCCCGATCACGTGATCACTGATTGGCCAATCAGTGATCACATGAAGAGTAGTAAGCAAGATGTCACTTCTGACATCATTGCTTACTACATGTGAAATCTGTGAATGATCACAGAGATCACATGGTACAGGGCTATTCACAACAGCCTTGTACCATGTGACAAGTTGTGACCAATCACAGCTCACACAGTATTTCTCAATGGCTGCAAGAATGCAGCCAGAGAGAGGAGAAATTATTTCTTTTACAGCCTTGGGTGTAAAAGCAATCAGTGTAAAAAAAAAAAATCTTCATCACCCCCCCCCCCCCCCCCCAAGTAGTACAGTATCACTATGGCGATACTGTACTGCTAGGGTGACAGTATGTAAAAAAACAAACAAATAGTATAAAAAAAAAAATAAAAAATGTAAAAAAAAAAAAAATTTGAAAAAAATTATAATTTTTGGTTATAAACTAATTTGGGTTATTTTTTGTTTTACTAAAAAGATAACGGAATACATTTTGGCCAAGATTTATGAAGATTATTTATTTGCAAAACAAACTTTTTTAACAATTTTTGGACATTTTCATTTATATAGCAAAAAAAATAAAATTCCCAGTGGTGAATAAATACCACCAAAATAAAGTTTTATCTGTCTCAAAAAAATGCTAAAAAAAATTCATATGGGTACAGTGTTGCATGACCGCGCAATTGTCATTTAAAGTGTGACAGCGCTGAAAGCTGAAAATTGGCCTGGAGAGGAAGGGGGTAAAAGTGTCTGGACTTGAAGTGATTACTATTACGATTATAGAATGTAGAGGCTGCCATGCTACTAATGCCCCCTGTCCTGGCATTCAAGGCTGAGAGTGCTGCCTTGGTAACAGAGAAATCATGTAAATCACGGGTGTCAAACTGGCGGCCCTCCAGCTGTTGCTAAACTACAAGTCCCATGAGGCATTGCAAGATTGACAGTTACAAGCATGACTCCCACAGGCAAAGGCATGATGGGACTTGTAGTTTGGCAACAGCTGGAGGGCCGCCAGTTTGACACCCCTGATGTAAAGCATCAAAGTGGACCTAAACCTGAACTAGATGACATTTGGATTGCTAAAACAGCATCATACACAACTCCTGTGGGTTTTTTTTTTACTTATTCTTAGATTGTAAGCTCCAAGGATCAGGGCCCTCCTATCCCTCTTGTATTGTTGCTGTATTGTCTCCCGTTATATTGTAAAGCGCTGAGCAAACTGTTGGCGCTATATAATAATATAATAATTTCACTTATATAAAATATTGCATTTTTTACAGGATTCAGCAGAGTTTGCTTTACCCTCAGCCATTTCCTGTTCAGCAGCTCCGGCCTCCGGCTACACATCACTGCTCTGGCCCCGCTTCCTAACAGTGGCCGTGCCTGCGGTAGTTGCCTCCAAGAGAGGCACAAGTAACCAGCTGGCAAGGCCAGTGTTACCCCATAACAGGAGGAGCCTGAACACAGACGTCCGTGGTAGGATCGTGGGAAATCTTTTAGGGCCAGTTCACACAACAAAAATGCATTCCAGATACGTTTTTGCTTCCAGTTCACACACCCCACGCAGTTCCGGTACAGTTTTGACACCGTTTGCTATGTTCCAGTATGGTTCTATGCAGAAAAAATGCAGCATGTTCTTTTTTTTTTTTTCTGCGCCAAAAACTGACTGCCCTGGTGTGAACTAGGGCCATTGGAATATATGGAAAACACTGTGCATGCAATTTTGATGCAGAAAAAAAAAAAAAAAAGCGTACTGGACTGAACCTAGTGTGAACCAGCCCTTAATGAAAGTTCCAGGATTAAACCTCCCTGCCGGTCTGATTATGTCAATATTTTTGAATGTCAAAGCGGTACATTGTTTTGCGTGGAAATTTGTTGTTTTATATTGTAGGCCTGTAATTCTTAGGAATAACTTAAATCTGTCCGAACAAAAGTCTAGTAAACATCCCGGGAATGAAAGTTTGAAACACGAAATAATAAATTATAATAAAGAATTATAAAAAATAATATAAATAATACAATAATACAATTAAATAATGTAATCAAACCAAAAACAACTTTTGACCTAAAGGGACGCTTTTTGGACGCCATGGACGTTTCTCCGTTTCCAGGCAGAAAGAATGGTAAAAATGCAGGCAGGGCGCCGGACGAAGCACTCGGGACAAAATTGAGATGAAATGGTTGGATACAGTAATGGAATCATAACAGATTACAATGTATTGTGTGTATGTCATGTTTTGTTTACTTTTTTTTTAATCTCCCACCTGTTCTGCCCCCCCCCCCCCCGCGTCACGGCACTCGCAGGGAAGGGAACCCGGAAGACGGATGCCGACATTGGGGGATCGCAGGGACAGTGTATTCCCGAGTGTTGCTCGGGGTTACCGCTTTTGGTACTGAAAATGAACTTCGAGCCACACCTCGGGATTACCGATAGGGAGGTTAAAAGGCTCGAAAACAACACTGGAAACAAAGATCTTAGCAGCTAGGCTTAGATATAATTATTACAGGCAGGGGCGGACTGACCATTTAGAAGCTCGGGCACTGCCCGAGGGCCCGGGGGTCAGTAGGGGGCCCCATGAGATGCCCCTGATACTTTTTTCATAGGTTTTTTTGAGTTTGGGCAAGGACACAGGGGCCCCATGATCCCCTATTACCCGGGGGCCCCATGAGTTGTCAGTCCGCCCCCCGATTACAGGTATTTTTTTTATAGCGTTGACAATTTATGCAGCGCTTTACATATATGTTATTCACATCAGCCCCTCAAAGGAGCTTACAATCTAAGGAACCTCTCTCACATACATGCACATACTAGAGCCAATTTATACAGGAGCCAATCAACCTACCAAAATATCTTAGTGTAGGAGGAAACTGGAGTACCCTGAGGAAACCCCTGCAACACGGGGAGAATATGCAAACTCCATGCAGTTTTGAATCCGGGACCCCCAGTGCTACAAGGCAGAAGTGTTAACCACTAAGCCACTGCACTACCCAATATAATTTCACTGCAAATCATGTTATAGGACAGTTAATTAGGAAATGATGATTTGGGAGATACGATGGGGAGCGGGATGCAGGGAATTACAATGTAGCAGAGAAATGTAACTCCGAGTAACAACCACTTTTTTTAAAGAGCTGCTGAGCTGGATGACAACCGTTTTAATACAATATTCATTATTCAACCCAAAACAAGGCAGGGGCTCTCATAAATACCCCCCACTAGGGTAAGATTTTAACCCTGGGGGGGGGGGCACAGGAGAAGAGGAAAAATAAGAAACATCACTACAGGGGGCTTTGGAATCATAAACACCAAAACAGCAGTACACACAGAGTAAGGGAGAGGTCAGGCACTGCAATCTGGGTGCTCTGAGAAAGGCAGCACCCTCCACCGCGCGTAAATACCCCACACTGGGAAAGGAACTTACCCTCCTGGGGTGCATTTATGGAGACAGATAAAAAGTAATAAACGCCGAGTGCAGCAGGGCTCTGGAATCATATTATACATCAGAACATCAGATACAAGAGCAGAACAATGAGATGACACAGAGCAAAGGAGAGAAACAGGCATCACAACCTGGGTGCCCCGAGAAGAGCAATCGTACCCTCCCACAAATACCCCATACTGTGGTAAGAATTTAACCCTGATGGGGGTACCTTGGAGAAGATGAAAAAATAATAAACACTGAGTACAGGATGTCCATTACAAAAGGTATATACAATACAAGATAACAGCAGTGCACACAGAGGAAGGGAGAGGTCTGACACGGTAATCTGGGTGCCCTGAGAAAGGCAGAGGTCCCCATAAATACTCCCCATTGGGAAATGAATTTTACCCAGGTGGGGGTACAAATAAGGAGGGAAAAAGTAATAAAACATTGGGCACAAGAGACTCTGGAATCAATATAAATCAGATACAATACAAGCAGTGGCGGACTGACAACTCATGGGGCCCCGGGCAATAGGGGATCATGGGGCCCCTGTGTCCTTGCCCAAACTCCAAAAAGCCTATGAAAAAGGTACCAGGGGCATCTCATGGGTCAGTCCGCCCCTGAATACAACATAAACAGCAGGTGGTCAGGTAAAGCAACCTGGTTCCTCTGAGAAAGGCAGCCCCCCCCCCCCCCCCCCAATAGATACCCCACATTTGGGTAAGGATTTAACCCTTTGCAAACTGATGAGGATGTAAATAAGAAAAATGACCAATGGGAATGGGAGACTATCACAGACCATGATAAATCATACACAGAATAACAGAGTAGCACACGGAGTAATGCCTAATACACACAATCAGAAAATCAGACGAAAAATACAGCTTTCGAAGCGTTCGTCCGATAATCAGATCCTTAGTACACAGCTTTTAAGAACTGACCGTGACAGTTCATGCTAAATTATATGAAGGGACAAACATGAAAATTTCTCTCATACAATGAACAATTTTCATTTATTCAGTACAGAATTCTTCTGGTAAAAAAATAAAATAAAAAAATCGGAAGACCAAGACAGCGCATGCTCAGAAATATGACAATACATCACTTCCCAAATTGTATTCTCTTGTACTGAATTTTTGTAACATAATAACCTCTTAGCAGCAAAAAACAAAGGATCATTCGTCCAATATTCTCATCAAGTGCACAAGGCTTAGGGGAGAGGTCCGGTAGAGCAGTCTGGGGCTCCCCTATAAATACCCCCCCCCCCCACTGGGAAGGTAATTTAACCCAAGTAACATAAACACTGGTTACAGAAGGCTCTAGAATCATATTATAAATCAGATACAATACAACAGCAGCACAATGAAATAGCACACAGAATCAGGGAGAGGTCAGACGCAGCGCTCTGGGGCTCCACTATAAATACCCCCCATTGGGAGAGGAATTTACCCTTGTGGGGGCAAAAATAGGGAAAAAAAAAAAAAAATAAACATTGGGCACATTAGGCTCTGGAATCATAAATCAAATACAACAGTGGGAAGTCGGGTACATCAACCTGACCCCCCCATTTGGGTAAGAATTTAACCCTTCGCAGACTGATTAGGAAGTAGAAGTAGAAAAGTCCAGGAGGCTATAAAATACAATGATAAATCATACACAAAATAACAGTACAGTAGCAGAGTAAGGGAAAGGGT